AATTAAAATTCTGTTCAAATTGGATTAAGCTGGAAGATATTGGCTGAAGCAGAAAATGAGTAAAAACTAAATTGAGGTAGAAATTCAATTTAATTCATTAGGAGTTTTGAGATAATTTAATTAAAATTTAGCCTATAAATTATATCTTGAGAAAAAATCCAACATAAAAGTGTAATTTATTGCAAAATATGTTATCATTTGATAAACTAGGTTTTTTTATCTGAAAATTCAAATGTTTTGAAGATAATTTGTGTGAAGTAAACGCAACTCCGACATCTGATGGAAGATGATACTTGAAGCATAAATCAAAAATTTGCTTTTAATATCCACATTTCATTAATTTGGATAAAAAAATTTGATGTAGAAAGATTTTTAGAAAAAAAATTATGGAGCTTGCTGACATTTTCTAAACCAACTGATACTTTAGCAGAACCAGATATAGGTTTTTTTTGCAATTAGATAATTACGTAGAACAATAGTTTTTTTGCTTAATAATTTTGGCAAAAATTTTAAATTGTTACAATTGGCACCTTGAGTTATTTTTCTAAATCGATTTTTTAGAAAGCGTTTTTTCAGAAGTATTTAGATGTTGCAGAAGTTAGGAACTAGGCCCACTTGCGTATTTCTATTTCTGGAGATTTTCAAATTATAAATAATCAAGCAGCTCTCAGTGTAAAAATATACCTTTGTACTCTCAATTTTTTCACGTGCTTTTGAACGTTTTAACTATCACCAATTTTTTCTTACTTAGACATTTCTGAAAAACTTCCGCTAAAAATCAAAAATAAAAAGCGATTTAATAACTATTTTGCAAGAAAGGTGATAGTAAAGGATTCCAAAAACTGTATTTTTGATTGAAGAGTTTAGTGTAGCAACCGAACAAGTGAACCTGAAGGAAAAAATGTACAAACTAAGTAGTCATAATCAGACGTTATCAATTCTAATTTTATCTCTGCCCGAAAATTGTTCGTTCAGTTGAAACTATTTTTCTCCTGAATTCTCCAGCTCTGACTAAATTTTATCGCAAAGTGAGTTCAATAGCGAAACTTGTATTACGCAGGATAACCTTAAAACATAAAATTTTCTACGGAAAAACTGTGAAAATTATGTTTTAGAAGCAACAGAGATAATCATGTGTTATAAAGAAGATTTTGTTGAATTTCATGTAATGTCTGTTATACTTTCAAAAGAAACTTACCCCATTTTCAGTCAAATTTAGCGGTAGACTCTTCAATTTTATCATTGGTTTGAAATTTACTGTTAACGTGAAAAACTTAAAACAGAAATTGTAGTTTTTGTAAATTTTTGGGTTAATCATTGAGAAAAAACTCAGGAGTTGAATCATGGAGTTGAATCTAGAAATATCAAAAAATATTGCCTTTATTGTTCAATTTATTTGAGATTTTCAAGAGAATTTGCCCTGAACTGGACAAAAAATCAGTTAATTACACAAATAGAAGGTTAAAATGCAAAGTTTTGGATACTTTACTTTCTCAAAAATTACGAATAATTTTCCCGAGAAAACGGAAGTTTCAATATTGATTCAGCTAATATAGGCATTCATTTAAGGGTTCAGAGCATTATATAACTTAATTTTTAGCTCACATTAGGGTAAACTTTATCGTTTTCAAAACTGTGAGAGAAAATTGTGGAGGAATCTATATTTTTATTCAAAGTTTTGTATCATTGTCTCAACATGATGCCAATGAAGCTCTAATTTGAGCTTAGCTTTAAACTCTTCACGTGAATATATTTTTTCAATTAGATCAGGTGCGACAAAAACCAAACAAAACCTTGACATTTCTGTAATTGTTTTCAAAAACATGAAGTTTTGCAACTTTTTGTCAAAAACTTTGAAATTTTTGCATTTTTTTTCGAAAACATGAAATTTTTTGCAATTTTTTCCAAAAACTTAACACTTTTGCAATTTTTTCCCAGAACTTGATAACGTTTTACGAAGTTTCAGTAGGTTTCAGCCTGGTTTCAGCTAGATTGAGTACTATTTTAAAAAGTAAGATCATCTAACAAAATAGTTAGTAAGATAAATTTCATCAAACTTCGTTTTTCGAAATTGTTTGAAAAAGTTTCAATTTTTTTGATTCAAACTTCAAGTTTTTGCCTATCTTTCCATTGAATTACCAAGAAGCAAAAAAACATAATAATTTTATTTGACAACCTACACTTTAAACTCCGTTAATACCGTTTTTTTACCACTCTCTTACCATCACACTGAAACCCTAACATTCCCTATCTTAATACATTGGGAAATCTTTTCCCTATGTTGGTGCAATGATTTTCTAACCCTTATACATAAGGATACCTATACACTATCTCAATATAATGGAATTCTAAACACTATCTTAAAACATGGTAAGATCGGGCGCGGAAAAAATTTTCTGAAACTTACCACCTTACCAACCGAAAATATGAAACCTATCTTAAGGCACTGGAAAATCTATTCACACGTAACACACCAATAATAATTACCCATCAGGTAAGGTGCGCCGAAATTTTTGCAAAAAAACAAGACATTTCCACACAAAATTCAAAAATACCGTTTTTTTACCATTCTCTTACCATCACTCAAACCATGAAACCTTACCAACTCTATTCTCCATCTTAATACCTTGGGAAATCTATTCCCTTAACTGATTACATAGGTGGGTGACCGGATGCTCTATTCCCTATCTTAAAACATTGGGGTCAGCCACCCACCCCCCCCCCCCCCCCTGATCGCCTGACACAAATACTAGTTAGATTTATCCCTGGTCAATATGTAGTCTTTCTTTCTACTGGAATTTCCTTCTAGTAAATTTTTTTTAATATCTTTTATGCATTTTTTTTTCTAATTTAAGATCTCAATTTGGCCTCATCTTATTAAGTGAAAAGGAAGCGAAATTGAAAAACTTACAATCAAGCTCACTTACGAACAAACTTACAAATTTTTCTGAGAGTTTTTCCTTGGATATTGAGGTCATAATGCATTAAACTTCATAATGCCTCTTAATGAACACTTAGAATAATTAACCTTTCACATTTGAAGTTGCAGATCATTAAAAAACCCCCAAGCCTTTTTATTCAGTGCGCAGAAATCCCACGCGACTTGTTGAAATCGAAATGATCAAACCTTAAAAGTTTCCTTAAAAAGCCAATCTTTGCTCTGGACGCAAAAAGCAATTAATTTTTTTATGTCCCCAAAAGCAATAAGTCTCTCGCTGCCCTCTTTTTTTGCTATCATATGGGCAAAGTTCTTCCGAAAAATGACGGTGTCAATGAAATTTCTTTTAGAAGTTTTGTCCTTCTGTTCTGATTGAGCGTTTTGGACAACGCTGCACATGAAGGATAAGAAAACTGAATCGCCGGATTGTCGCTCTCACCGCTCAAGATTGATGTGAGTTTTTGCTGTTTCTTCAGCTGGCTAACTAAATCCTTTGCTTCTGAACGATTGGGTTGAATTCCTGGCTGCGCTCGGTTTTGAAAAAAAGTTTTATTGGATGTTACAAGAATCATTGGACATTTATAAGATCGCTAATTTGGACAACTCCAGTGAGTGTTAGATTTTGTGTCACGCTGTCCATCCAAAATAAGCGACGGTTTGTACTGTTAATTTTTACAGATAATAAATTCTGTCAAATTGGTGTCCATTGTAGAAGTGCTGTGTGTAAGGGTGTCACGCTGTCCATCCAAGTAGAAGTGCTTTTTGTTGTTTATTCGTGACATTTTCATCATTTTTGACTCAATTAATAGATTGGAAAACAAAATTCAATCATTAGGAAATATTTTTTTACCATTAGCACTATTTCTTTATTATGTCGTCTCAAATTAAATGATGCAGCTGATTTGAAAATCACATTAATTGCGATATAGAGATATGCACCAATTCTCGGTCGTTTATATCAGAATAGAGTTTTTAGTCTTTTGTGAGAAGTTTTAATTGACGTGGGTTATTTTGGTATAAGCTATTGTAACCATTAGAATATATTGGTATGGGATATTTTGGTATAGGATACTTTTGTACGAGATTTTTTGTCCTGTGACCAGCATCTTGCGAGCTACCGCTTGGCTTACTCAGTTGATTCGAAATCTCAGTTTGTAATAAGAAGCACTCAAATTAGCACTTTACGTTTTGCACAGATGTTAATTCTAACTTCAAAAAGTTCTTTGTTTTTGATTCTGAAATATACAATATTTCCTTATTGCTTGATATCTTGGTTCATACTGAATGTCAGTGACTACACGCAGCTATTAAGTATCAGTCGTTCATTTTATTTGAATTAGGAAACTGGGATCTCGCTCATTGCCGTAACTTATACTAATAAAAAACGTTTACAGCCACCCCGAGCAGTTATTTTTGGAGGGAGTTCCTGTAATTTGTTTAGGGGAGGAAACGATGAATTATTACAGCCAGATGGACAAATAACGACTTCTCTTTGATTTAATATAGCGAGTCAGCAGTGTGCCAAGAAAGGCAAGAGGTGAACGGCAAGAGGTGAACGGCCTCTCCATTCGATTTTAGTTGCGAAGGTTTTCCAAACTCACCCCTTTGGTAATATTTTGCGACTTTCACTTTTGGTTGACCATCCTGAAAACTTTGTCTAAACGTGCCTTGACGCTCATATATCAAGGTTGCGAATTTTGAGCTATGATTATCTTAGTTTGAAAATTTGAACAAATTTGAAAAAATGAAGAAAAAAAATTAAGACTTTTATCGCTGATGTGGGCGGAATTTTCTGTGCTACTAGAACAGCAGCCGACTACTCTTCTTTGTTCAAATTTCAGATTAACAGTTTTGGCGTAGTTTGAATAATTTTGTTATAATGATGTTTCAATTTATGTGATTGGGTCAATATATGGTGAAGCTTGATGATAAATATTTAACGTTTACATGAGTTTAACTTTAAAGTCCTCAAATTTTTAATTTGATTTCTGTTCCAATCTTTGATTGTTTTCTAAAAAAGTAATTTTTGACAATTGTGATCAAGAACTTGTTTACGGTACGGTTCTGGACATAATTAATTAACTACTATGAAATAACCGAGGCCAGTTTATGTTTTTACTTGAATGTATAAATTGTTTAATTTTGCAAAGTTATAAATTTTAGAGTTGCCAATGAAGCAGCTGGTTATTTTAAAGGCACTGAGAGCTTGGAAGCTTCACAAGGAGATCGAGAGTTCAAGGGTGTAGTTTAAACTTCGATTTCATTCTAGATCGGTGAACAGATGTGGCTCTGACTGTGCGAACAGGGGCCATACTTGGTAGTGTTCCATAGTGGCCATAGCAGAGAAGGCCACAGTGCCCGAGAGTATGGCCATCAGGGCCAGAGACCAGTACATGCCACAGTTGTACCTGCGCCAGCCGGGGTTCAGAAGCACATACCTGGATAAATGATTCATCAACGAATAGATAATGATAGCAAATTTGTGGAGATTTCAGCAATCGATTTTTTAAGAATGTTACACTAATTGGGAATACTATTTGGTTGTTCAAAAATGAGTGCAGCGCAGGGCTATTGTCAAAACTTGAACAAGACCCTTGCTCTCGCAAGTAAAAAGAAAACTTTAAAACATCAATTTCAGTATGCGACCTGAAAATAAACTGCTTGGTCGAAAAAACAGAAAAGATTGCTGACCTCGCCGACAGTCTGTCGAGGTACTTGATGAGGTTATCCCTGGTGGGTTCAGCTAGGTCCAGACAGAGCGAGGACTTCAGTTCCCTCAGGACTGAGAGATGGGAGAAGACGAGGGCGTCGAGAGTGCATGGCCGACAGCCGAGCAGGAACTCGTTCTCATTCAGCAGCCACGACAGCTTCTGACAGCACGAGATGTAATTCTGCAGCAGCTGAAACCACACCACCCCATCTGCACTTCAAAGTCATCAATCAAACTCGTCAAATTGCAGATTTCGTCCTATTGCTATACATATATTCCAGTGGCTTCTGATTGAGAGGTTTAAAGCTTCAAAAATTAGAGCCTAAAAACCTCGGTAATTAATTTATTCAAGAAGGCGAAATCTGCTAGTATATCTACATAGAACCAAATCTACCAGTTTTTAGAAGGACAAAATCTATTGGCCCCTAATTTAATCGGTCCGATATTTTACAATTATCTAGCGAATAATGTTTGGAGATACTTATTCTAACAGAATAAAAAATCTAAATTACCAGAAAATAAACTTAATCTCGGATGCCTCATATTTTGAGACAATATTTAAGGCAACTAACCGTTTCTGATGAAGTTTGGCTGCGTCTTTCGTGCATCTGTTGCATCTGGAATAATAAGAGGTCATCATAAAGTGGGATTTCCCGCAAAAAAATAGATAAGATCAATGGCATAAAAATTGTCAAATCAAAAACGTAATTTCAAAACATTTGTTCTAATTTCTGCCTAATTGATGAACGTGGAATTTCAGACTTGCCAAATTTTGGACTAAACCAAAATGATCTTATGCAAAAAGTAAGAACCTTTTAGCAATCTATTCGTTAGTAACTCTTCTCACCCTTTGCTGGTTTGCAATGGAGTCGGACACAAACAGAGGCAGATTGTTCTTGATCCAGGGTCTGGCCACATCGTGATAGTGCTCGAACCACAGCTGGTCACTCACGAAGGGCACCAGCGCATCCAGAATGTACTCCCGCAACTTATGCATGTCTTGCAGCTGCAGAAGTAATAGTCGTAATCAAACTTTTTCAGAAATCAGAATTGGCAGTTGTGCAAAATAGCACAGAAAGTTTTGACACAATTTCTTAAAACTAAAAATACTTTTTTAAATTCAAGTTAATAATTAGCATTTGTCCGTGTGAGGAGAGTAGCTTTGAAATCTAGAAATTGGTTGCGGTTAATTTTGGTGAGTGAATAAGAAAAACTAAAACAAAATTAGCTTAGGCAACAATTTCAACCATTTTTTGCCAAAATTTTTTTTACAGTCCAACCATTAACGAGTTCCGATATTCGCATGTAAAACCTTTTTTTAATGCAAAAGCAGGTGTCTTGTACTCGGGAACTACCCGCATTGGAGTTCCATGAATAAAATCGATTATCATTGAGTTTCATTGTCACTGTCCACAAAAGTGAAAAAAAAATTGATTATAATCAATTAATTAAAAGTGGATTATAATATTATTATTTTTCCTGGCAACAAAATCCATTTTTAATCCCTTATAGTCAATTTTTTCCCACTTTTGTGGACCTTGACAATCAAACTCAATTAAAATCGATTTTTTCATCTTATTGAGATGCGAATTTCAGCACAAATAAAGTCTTTTTTACGTTTCAAAGAAAAGTTGGTTATTTGTTGTAACTTGCAACTTTGATAACATTGTTACTTTCTATGTTACTCAATAACTGAATTTTCTTCTTTTCAAATTTTCTTAAATAAAATTTGAAACTTTAGGGGGGGATTGAAGGTGGACTGATTTCCTCTTCCCTTAAACTCCCCAAGCGTTTGCCCCTTTGTGCCCTTATTCCCGCCATCCCCCACCTGAACCAACCCCCGCCCCACATGAAAACCAACTGAACTGAACAACCCCACATCCACTCTACCTGAACCTGATTAGGTGGTGGATTGGGTGTTGTTCAGGGGGGTTGTTTGGGTTGGATCAAATGGGGGGGGGTTTGGTTCAGATTCGGGGGTTTGGTGGTTCATGTGCGGCGTTCATGTGCGGGTTCATGTGCGGGTTGGTTTGGTTGAGATGCGAGAGGGGGGTTTGTTTCATGTTTGGGAAGGGGGTTTATTTCTGTTTGGGGGGGGGGGGGTTGGTGGTTGGCAGTTCAGGTGTGGGTGGTGATGTTCAGGTGAGGGGGGCTTGGTTCAGGTGCGGGGAGTGTTGGTTTAGATGGGGGTTTGTGTTGGCTCAGGCGGTGGGAGTGTTTCACGCGGGGGATGTCTCAGTTGGTCAGATATGTGGCGTGGTTCAGGTAGTGGAAGGGGGCAAATGGGCAAAAGTTGAGATGGGAGTTTCAAGGGAGCAAATAGGCAAACGTTAGGGGGGAGAGGTTAACGGAATCTTTTTGCAAATTGAATTTAGGTTTAGTAAACAAAATAGGCAGTATACTCGCTTTGCAAAGCTTACTCATTTGATTAATGCATAAATTCATGTAGAAGTTTGCAAGACACGAAATGAAAATAAAGTAAAAATCCCTTGTAATGTAATTTTCTATGTATTATATATTCCATTATAATGGATTTCAATTGAATTATCTTTCCCTTGTCTTTGCGAGAAAAAATGGATTTTTATGCTTTCTTAGACCCCTTTTGTTGTCTGAGCTTAAAATGGGAATCGAATATACTGGTAATATTTCGGACCACAAAAAATCGTTATTTTTTTTTAAATGCGTGCAAACTGTTTTTTGTAAACAACTTTTCTTACAAATTGTACTTGCTTCAATTATTTGCTTCATTAATTAAGCTTAGCAATATTCAGGTTCGTTTTACTTAGCCTGAGTAACAAGGACGCCTCTGCACCCTAGGATCAGGGGTTCAAGTCCCAACCGGACCTTCTTTTTGTTCCGACCATTGAAAATGGATAGGAACTTTGTATTTGTGTGTTTTAGTTTTTTTTTTTCATTTTCGACGAAAAATCAGCTAACACAAATAATCATCGGACAGGGTTGAGTGATATATCATAATGAAGCCCTTTCAGTCGTGATTTGAACGACATTAAACATTTCAAAAAAGTTTTCAGTGTCGAGAAACACCGGTTTGAAATTTTTGATTTTTGGTTTAATTTCGAGCTAATAGTAAGGTAGCCATTAATTGGAATAGCTTATTCTAGCTTAAATTAAGACACAAAAATTTAGTTTTAATCAAATAAAGGTAGTTGTTTTAAATTTTTAGCGCAATTTTAGGAATCAAAAATTGAAAAATTCAAAAATATTCCGCAAAAAAGGTTTGAAAAAAAATTAAAACTTTTTTCTTTTATTTTTTAGTTTTTCTATTCATTTTTCTTTTAAAATTATTTTTCAATTGACCTATTTACTATGACTCTCAATTGTGCATAAATGCCTTTTTTCTTTCAGATTTTCTATCACCACATGCTGAAAAAAAACGACACCAATATGAGAAAAAATTTTTGTGTTTTTTTAAGACTGTGGCCGGAACAAAATCTGTGCTACTAACACAGTAACCGGCTATCCTTGTTTCAGTATGCAAGCAATTGAAAAAAATTCAGTACAAAACGAATTATCGTACCTTGTTAGTCTGCTCAAGCTTTCTGATGGAAGTTTCAGGAGGGGCTTAAAACTTTAAATGTTCTTTGTAAAAAAAAAATTTCGACACATTGTCAAAAAATTTCGGCTTTGTTTTCTCTTCGAAATGTGTGTTCCGGTGCTAGTTTAAACATCACAAATGCATGACATGCTTGCTTAGAATGTAATTCTATCGCGACATTTGAAAATTAACCTTTTGGTAGACCTAATGGCTTTCAACGTTTTTTTTTTTGACGTATGTTTTATGCTCGAGTTGCATCGCAAGTGATGCGAAGCTCCGCTTCGCCTCTGTGTGTGACAATCAGGTCGTAATTAGGCCCTAAATTACTGCGAGGAGGCGCGTTAACATACATTTGTTTATAACTCCCTATCCAAGTTTTAAACTTTTTTTTAAAAAAAATGTATTATCTATTTTTCAGACTGGTTTTGAAGTTTTGTTGATATCCATGAAAATGATCACAAATTAAAAAAAGTTTTGCATTTTTTTTTTGCCGTGGTGAATGTGGTTGGAGCTTAGCCATTTCACGGCGAACGGAAGCTATTGCAATCATTTACGTATGAACTTTATGATGGGGTTGTGAGACGAACGAACCTGTGTGTTGGCTAGCCATGAGTCAGGATGCACTCCGTACACTTTGGCCACGTCAGACAGGAATGAGTGGTGGTCGGTTCCTTCAATCGACTCACCGGTGGCCGTGTCCAGAGAGAAGCTTCTCACCGGAGGGGGCCTGTACATCAGCCACAGACTAAACCTAAATCAACAGTTGTCATTTGATCAAACACAATTTCTCTAAAGACTAAAGACTAAATATAAAGATGCACAATGGGAAATGAACATGCGATCAAATGGAATCCTAAATCTGACCCTCTAGTAGTAGTGTTGAACTTGACAGGCACGTGAACAAATGCCAGCGATGCGGCCAGTTCCAAACTGCTCACATCTAAAGTGGGCACTCGGGACTTGTAGCCAAAACACTGGATGACGACTGGTCTGCGGGTGATGTTGCGAGTCCTAACTGCCGCTCGGAGTATGAGAGGCTGTGAGTCCAGCTGTAGCAGGTCATCTGTGGATATGTTGGAGGTCACTGTTTCCGAGACTGCCTTGCTCTTGAAGGAAGACATGCTCGTCGTGTAGGGATCCCGATTGGTTGTCGTGAATATCCTTACACAGATAGAAAAGTATTATTGTACTCAATGAACTGTTTCAAATTGCGCACTCTATGATTGACAATTCCTTCGCAACGACTGCTTAGACCACTGATTTCAGTTTTTCTGAGTAGGCGGCAGATGTCATCAATAGAGCTATTAATAGTTTGGGTTAAAAGAAAAGCAGATGATCTATCCAAAAGCTGTAGTACCTGGTTTTGATCTGGTAGTCATATCTGTGCAGGTTGGAGTCCCTCTCTATGAAAACTGAGAGGGGGTTGGAAGGCACTTCTATCTCTGTGAGGATAAACAGGAGCGCAAACAGCTGAGCATCTAACGAAGTGAAGTGTTCACACAACACGTAGTTGCTGTTACCCAAAATGGCAGACAGTTCCTTCAGATACATTATGGCTGATTGCATAAGCTGAAACCAACAGATACTCTGTTGCGTCATTTCTGAGATTGAAAGTTCAAGTTTGTCTACAGTTTAGTTTACTACACATTTCATTGACAAGTAGGATTCTGTCAATTAATCTTAAGCCTAATGACTTTTTTCTAGACAAATAAATGGAAAACTAGGTAAATATAACAAAGGGATGGAAACTTACCATAACATACATGGAAAATGTTCAGTATAAAGATAGCTCTTATGTTATGAAAAGACGAGTCCAAAAATTAATAGCTAATTGTTAACGCTTCAAGAAAAATGTTTTTATCTAATTGTAAAAACTCGTTATAAAAACCACTTGTGTATGCTTGATACTTTTTTATTTCCACGAGATTGTCTAATATTTAAACGATGAACTTAAAAAATTCCAACACATGTATTTCTCGAATTACACCTAATTGATGTTTGCCCTGAACACATTTAAGGGTTTCTCATTTATTTAAACCAATTCTTCCACACGAGTCTTTGCTGGCTTTCGATCAGTTTGATTACGTTTTATTAGCTGTGCCTTTTGTAAAGATTCTATATTGCTATATTGTGCCAATATATAATTTGGATATCCTGAGCAGAGCAGAGGTTTTAAAATAATATCTGAGTTGAAACATCATCGAGCAAGATTCAGCTGCCTTTTTATAAAATTTTCGAATTACTTTTTTCATCAATTACTAGATCTAAGTAATTTTTAGATTTTTTGGTTGAATTTTTTCTGATAACTTTTGAAGTAGTTGTTTTATCATTGTTCATAGAGTGCCTTTTCTCTGAAAACCAGTTTTCAGTCTTGCTTATACCAATGCGCTTCTGCTGTTGAGTTCCAGTTTTAGTTGTTGTATACAAGGCGCAATGCCGGCAAACAGTACTCTTATACTGCCTAAAACCCTTTTCCAAGTCTTTTATGGAAAGCCAAAACAATATAGAACCAAGGAGTGAACCTTGTAGTTGACCACAAAGTTATAGTTTCAATATCAGAATTGAAATGTTATAAATAACGTACTGTTTCCGATTTTCAAGTTATGAACTCAAAAAATTAACAACTTGTTTTGTAAGCCGTATAGTTCGCAATTTTTCATTAAATTTTTAAGATCATCTGTGTCAAAAGTTCTATTAATGAACACACTGAGTCAATTTTTAACTTTCCTCAACATTCTCAATTATTTTTTCAGTGAGGTCCAAGACAGCATCCCTTGTACTTTTGCTTATTTCATAATCGCTACTGACATTACGTTATTACATCAATCTTTTTCCGAAAACTTATTAGACAATTATTTATCAACTTTTTCAAATCCTTCCCCATAATTGCTAGTAAACATTTACGTTGGTAATTACTATCCTTTAACTTTTTTTATATGTTGGTTGAAATTTAGCAGTCTTAAAAGTTGAATGATCAAATGATTTTTCTACAAATTGTTTAGGCAGGCAATGCAATATATCAAATATAGGCGGAAATTTTTTTGATCAGGTCGTTTATTTGATTGCAACTCTTAAGGCTCTTTTTATTTTTCATGTTAGTAAATATTTCATTTTTTTCTTCAATTGAACTGTTTTTTTTTTAAATTATCTACTTTTTATAGTTTTGCTAAAATTTGGTGAAATCGTTTTTATTTTGACTAAATCTGACCAATTTCATTTAAAATTAATAAATCCTTGTGTACTTTGGTTTTTGTATTCTGATTCCACGGGTTCTTGATGTGTTTTGACATCAACTATGAATTTTTTACAACGTTTCGAGGCTTTTGTTTTCAATTGACTTTTTATCATTTTTTATTTAGTTTCATTTAATTTTATGTTTTTATTACTATTTTTTCGAAAGAACAGAACGCTAAGCTGAACTTTAACCAGGTTCATGGGTGTCCAGATCTTTCCACTTATCCCGAAATACAGGACTATGTTTTTTGCTTTTTGTTGGCCGTTAGTCAAAGTGGAACTTCGTTTTCGACCGCCTCGTCATCTGATAAAGAGTTGTAAGGACCATCACTGTCAATTAAAATTTGTTTAAAAACATTAAGCGTTGACTTTCTGCTTCGAGTTCGTGTAGTACCACCTTTCATATAATTTGGTCTAAGCCTTAGCAAGATTTTTAAGATATAGTGATTAATTCGCCGAATCGGATACATCAACGCTCTTGACAGTGAGCATATCTCCAGGCTGAAGTTTCAGCTCAAAAAGCTAGACTTGTAATTTATTGAGAAGTCTAAAACTGTTCAAGTCGGGCGTTTTAAAAACATTAGAGATAGCTTTTTGATTCATGGTTCTCAATTAAAATAATAAGGTTCTGCGTAACGTCTAGAGTCAGTTCTTTTTTTTGGCTTTTGTAAAAAGCAACACATTCCTTGCGTTTTTACTTATTTACTGTTTCCTGTTTCTATAGATCGGTAAAATGACAGTTTTAAAACACCAAGTTCCATATTGGATTTCAACCAAGCTTTAGTAAGAGCTATTTTCTGCAGTTATTTAGATTTAATTTCCCTTATTTTTTTTGAGAAATCATGATTTGCTTCAATGAGCGAATCTATTGAAAAAAAGACATAAATGTTTAGGAATATCAAATTTTTTTTATCTTTTCTTGTCTTAAGCTCTCGGTATTTATGGCCAATCTTCTTTTACATTACTTTTTTGTTATTAGATTACTATCAACTTTAATTTCAAAAGCACTTGTTTAGTGAACTTAATTGTTTTGGTTTTATTCCTAAAATGATTTGATCAACAAACTGCTCAGAATTGCAATCCGATACGGTTTTGTACGTTTTACCCACTTATGTCAGTTTTTCCTATCTTGAGAGTTCGATTAAAATTATATAACCACAATTGCTGAAAATTGCATTGTTGACTCATTTTTTTGAATCACAATTGTTGAAGATTGCTTTCATGACAAAATTGCATTGAAAAAAGCAAAAAAGAAAAGAAAAATATATATATGTTTGTCAAGATAGCTTTTTGAGCAGTCTAGAGAAAGATATAAGATAGATTTTTATTAAAACAGCTGCAAATTAGGGCATTAGGCTTAAGAAATTTGAGCGGAAATCATTTGGTCAGAATTAATTTTTCCAGCGATAGAAAAAAATACTTGAAAAATATACGAAATCAAGGTGAGTAAAAATACAAACAGCAGAAAAAATCAGAAAATATAAAACAACTACAAAATAACTTGCGTACAACAAAAAAAACGGTTCTACGATGTTTCACTTAAGCCGAGAAAACATAAGCAGACAAATATCAGGTCGAAAGTTGTTTTGAAACAGAATTTTTACTTCTTGAGAAAAAACAGGTTGTGTCAGATTCCAATCCAGGACTCTTGTCGTCCCAGGCTTACTTGTTACCTCCGGACCAAGTGCGCCAGAGATGCACCAGAGACCAAGTTGTTACCAGAGACCAAGTGCGCCAGACTTGAACTTATATTGAGTTGAACCTACGGTTACTATTTCCAACTTTGACCATTCTGTGAACAAGGTCATGTACGGGAAATATGTCTTGTACCCGATTGCAATACCTTTTTCGCAAGGGCAAAAACCAAAATAGTAGAAAAAAGGTTCGTCCCTATAATTAGGGCAATTGAAACTTACCCCATCCTCTTGAAGAAACCAAAACAGCATATTTCAGAACAAATCAAAGACCCATAAATTGTGATCAAAGAACAATTGACGCATGTGAAAACAGTATCAAAGCCAAGTAAGATTTGCTTGTTCAAATTAAAAATGAGTTCAAAGTATGAACGAACAAAAAATTTAATCCAATTTTTTTATAGAAAAGCGTTGAGGCTATTTCTTAAACGAGTAAAAGTCATATCACATCAAAACCACATAGCTTAGCATTTAATGCTTGTGTTTTAAAATCAAAAATTTGAAAGATCAAATCGCCAAGAAGTCAAATTTTAAAAGAAAGTCAAAAATTGTTGAAGATTTGACTAGTTGATCACAAAAAGAAGGATACTGGGGGGGGGGGGGGGCTTGAGGGCGAAAGTAAATTTTTTTGATATTAGCCTCTATTTCCTCCCAAAATATCAGCGCTCTGCGACAACGGGAACCTCAAAAAGTAATCATATAGAAAAATTCATAAAACTTGATTAAATGAACAGAAGTAGTAATGACCTAATTGCACGACGGAATACAAATATGTTAAAATATAATCTTCGCAAAAATTGTTGAAATTTTTAAATCTGTTTTTCACTTTCTCATTCAATTCTCTGTACTTTTTGCGAATGGAGTAGCTGTGTCCCCCCATTGCTTTCAGTATATTGAATTTTCGACTGGCAGTATTCAATTTGATTTGTTCCAGAAAGGTGTGAGTGGATGGGGTGGGAGTTTCCTTTAAAGAAAGTAGCAACGCCAAGATGCTAACCTTTTACAGCATTTGTTGTCCTTTTTAATCCAGCAGCTGCTTCTTCGGAATGATTTCAAAGTTTTACTGGAAAGAGAGGGTTGCGAGAATTCCTTCCGATGGTTTTGAATTTGATTTAGGTGCGTTGCATGTATGAGGCTACCTCATCAAGTTTTCAATGATGTTGTCGTCGAGATCAAACTTGTCAGACACTTTTCCGATCTCCTCAATAACCAAGTCGAAAGCTTCATTGACAATTTCATTTGGTACAAAACTTAGAGCTGAAAGTAAGCGCAACGATAAATATAGTTCGCGATTAATTTCATTCAGTCGTTTTAGGCCCCCTTCGCTTATTTTCTGGTTTAACTCTTGACATAAATGAGAAAAACAGCCTTTGTGCAACGCTCCGGTATGATGACTAGCGAAAACATTTAGTGCTGCAAGTTCAAAATCGAGGAAAATGCCGTGAGGCTCGGGGTTTTGGTGATGGCTGATAACGCTTTCAGTAGCTTTTTGTATATGTGCTCTCTTTTTTTGACAACAGTGCATAAATGCAGGGGGGGGGTAAAAATCAGCGAGTTGAATGTGGATGGTGTAAAATTGATAAAACTGAATAGGACAAACTTTGAATGTTCGGTCACACAGCCAAACATCTCACTGTAATATCAAATTCCGGAAATTGTCCTGATCTTCAAAAATCAACACCCTTACTGGATCTTCAATACCGTTACCAAAGAAGCAAAAATCCTCGTGTTGCTTTGGTACCTCAAAACTTCTGTCGACAGTTGGAGGCACTGTGGGTCTCTCTTTAACTTTCTGTCGATTGAGGGCCCGATTAAGCGCCGACCGGCAAGGATGAGCTAACTGAACAGCTTTTTCTGCGGACACAGACTGCAGGCCGTTTGCTATAATGATACTATTGACTGGTACTTGCTGAATTTTTGTGCCTTGTTTCATTTTCTGCACGGTAAGCCTTGCATCTGAACGACCAGGAAATAAGATCGTTATCTCAGGTTATTGCTGTCGTTTTGTATTTATGGGACCCCCATCTTGAACACTTTCACTGAAAGTTTCCATTCTTTGATTCCTGTTTTTTGATAAACTCGTGGGCACTGATTACAAGCGTTCTCCGATTCTATTGGGATAGACCCCAAGAAATTTGGCTCATTTGATAAGAGTTATTCCAAGGAAAACTGATATAATGACGTAGTTTTTGTTTCATTTTTGTACGTGATATTGAACATTGGGGATTAAGCCTGTTCATTGAAACGAACCTCAGATTTTGAGGCTTATATTGCGATTTAGTCCTTAGAACAATTTCCTAAAGTGAAAGACTCAAATTGACAAAAAATGAATTTACACGTGTTGTTATCTTTCCGGTTCTAATTATGACTTTGAAAGATTACATTAATTCTGCGCCAAATCGACTCAGGCTTAGTTGGTATATAGGGCAGATTAGTATAGGGTAGATTAGTATAGACTAGATTATTATAGGGTAGATTGGTATAGGGTATATTGTCCTGCCACCTAAAATTGATAAACGTTTTTGGTACCGTGTATTTTTTTTAGCATTGAGGCTGTTCCTGACTTAAAAAAACCAAACAATTTAAAAATTATTTGCTTCTATCGATTTTATTCTCAACTTTTCTTTAAAAGTTAAAAGGATAGGGTACGCATTTGATTTGTTGTAGGATTTTAAGTGATCATTTTCAATTAGAATAACACACTTGTTATCCATTTCTGCCATCATGTTGGTCAGGAATTTTTTTTACTCCGTGTACCTCAATTGACGATTGTGGAGACAATAAGTCATCTGAACAGTGAATTTCCTCTTGTATCCAGCGAATTACTTCATCCTGAAATCACCAACACAGACACGTAAACGAAACTAGCAGAATATTGTGGCGCTTTTCCGTTCAATATATGCAAGAAAAAGTATTTAGCTATCTCTCGCAAGGGCCCTCTAGATGTTAAACTTCAGCCCTAAAAATTGTTTTTCTTTGATCAAACCAACCAGATAAAAACAGTTACTCAAAAAATAATGACATATTCAGCTAAAAGAAATACTTAAATGCATTCGGGTCATAATTTTGTTTTGATATATATTATATTTAAATAACTGGAACATCGTTGTAATATGTTCAGACATAGGAACTTTGCGTAGAAATTGTTGCGTATGGTTCTTACCCTTTTGACGTTGGCTTTCTGGAGTTTATTTGACTCGAAACACTTTCTGGTGAACCAATCCAGAGTGAGGGACTCGAAGTTCTCGCTGACAGCCCAGAGAGTGTAAAGCACAGCTGGCAGCAAATGCAGATCACATCTACTCAGCAAGTGGTCGTGCTGCTCCTTCTAAATAGCAAAAACAATCATCCGAAATCACAGCATTAAGCAAAGAATAGATATTTGTATTAAACACCTCTTAAGAATTGAAAAAAGCCGGCGAAGTTTTGACTGTGAGCAAAAAACGTTTCAAATGAGAATGAAACATAGCAGGAATCATGACAGACAGTTATTATCTATCGGGTAAAATGATTTAAAAAAACTAGAATCTTAGTCATGCATAGATTCGGAAACGCATTAAATAATTTGCGTATCTGTGATGTAAATATTACCTCGTCAGATGTGAAATGAAAAGCGTCGTCGAAGTGGTTCAGATACAAGTCGATCTCTTCGCGGGGAACAGCGAATCTGGTTCCGTCATTCTGTCTGATTTCAATGATAGGCAATTCAGGCTGCATGTAAAGCCTGAAAACATCCGCAAGGTTTATTAGGGTTTGACAACCAAAAAAAGTAGCGGTACGACGACCACAAGTTCTCAGTTGTGATTGCTTACTTAGTGTGACGGTGCTCAAAATGGACAGAAATGTTTTGCGATCTGAGCATGGCTGCCAATTGGATGCATTCGTGGTCCAAAGTGGGCAGACCACTCCTATTGGCCAGTGGCGTGTAGATCACCACTTGATCGGCCATTGAGAACGAGTGGCTGAGCAGTAATCGAACGTCCGAGGAATCTGACTGACGGGAGGAATTGTTGAGTTGCTGCATTTTGAAGTAGGGATCGAAGTGGGGCACTTCCAACACGTTTAAGTTCGGCGAGAGAATGATTTCCTTGTGGTCGTTGATCAAGTACAATATATGCTGCCTCAGATATCTACAATCGAACATCTTTCGGAGCACACTGTTTCAGGGATTAAAAACGTAGAAACAGTATAGAAAAAGTAGATAATAAATTTAAAAAACAAAAAAAAAAACAACAATTTTCGATATGAATATGAGCTCCAATGAATTTGAACAATGAGAAATATAAGCTCAACCCACCCCCTGTATATCCTGTAGAGATAGTCCTGTAGGTTTTGGTTGGACTGCAGCACCCGAGTGATGGTGGAGGATCCTACATTGCAGAGAAGTGGCATCAAAAGGAGAGAGGCTATCTTAGCATCCAGTTTGCTATAGCTCCTCCCACACAGGAACGACTGGCCACCCAGAAGAGTGCCGATGTCCCGCAGGAATGCCTCTGCACTCGCAAACACCTGCAGAGAAGAGATAGTATATTATACTGACTCAATAAGCGATGCATTAAACTACTTATTTTTTGCAGATAGACCAAAATCAAGAAAAGTAACTATTTTGAACTACTTTACAAAAACCATCCAAGTTTGAATTACTGAACTGGGCGGTTCAAAGATTCTGAACTTGGAAATTACATTGAGTTATCTTTGCAGAAATTCTACGCATGCCAGCAAACAAATCATAAGCCGGCAGTTTTTTTGAAATGGAATACTTCCCGTTTGAAAAAAAAACAAGTCCTGGTCAAATTTGTGCTAGAAAAAAACAGGTCCTGGTCAAATTTGTGCCGTTCCAGGCGTATTCGTTAGCTCCAGACTAAGTGTGCTAGAGACGCTTAGAAATTTGAATTATTATGAATCAAGATACCAAGTGCCTCAAAGGATTCTGTTAAACAAGTTGTTAACCCGGCAAAAAGTCTATCTTCCGATTTGATAACGCTTGTTAATTGAAGCGTAGCCAACAATAATCTCTAGTTCTGCCTCAAAGCACCAATTTTAAGAGTCTGAACTCGGTTTATGCAGACAAAAACCTGAAAATCAAGGCCGGCCAAGGCCGTTTTATGAACTAATTGAATGAATTTTACTTATAAAATTCGGGGGTTTTGGGGGTGGGGGGTTTCGAACGAATGGTCGGTTTGTATTTCCTGTCGGTAACATTGTTTCTCTATTTGACTGCCTTTATAGTTCATTTTATAGTGAAGTTACGTTCTTATTTCACGTTTTTCTTATTTACTTTTCGCTCAGCAACATATTTTTGATGTTGTACTACTCACCATCTGGATTGTGTCTGAGTCAGTCTGGGTGCTGTATCGCGTCTGCACTTCCTCAATCACTTTCGGTACAACTCTTCCCTGCAATTATTCACGCAAAAGTGGTTAAAACGCTTTTAGTATGGCGCTCCTTATAAACCAAACTTTCTTAACCCGGAATACGAATAGTCGGTTGCTGTGCAAGTAGTACAAAATGTTCCGACCATAATTAGAAAAAAACTATTAACAATTTTTTTTTTCAAATTGCGTCTTTTGCTTTTGCTGTGAGATGAGAGAATCTAAATGAAAGCCTAAAAATTCGATATACAAAAAATTAGGGACATTTGACGACAGTTCTTTATACAAAAATTCTTTTTTTTGCAGAAATTTTTTTATTCGTTCTCAAACTTATAGTCTCAACAAGGCGCTTAAAGAATTCTCGGTAACTAAATTTAAATGAGTAACACTAGTAATCGTAGGTTTCAAGACTTAACTAACTATTATAAGACTGCTCGCTCGCTTTATTCGCTTGGACGAAAATCAAACAGGTTTTCTCGTCACTAAGACATTTTTTGGAAAATTTTTCAAGTTATTTGAATGACAGCTGAAAGGAGGAGATTAGTGTGATATATCACTCGACCTATTCCGATAATTATTTGCGATACTTTATTATGCGTGAAAAACAAACAAAAAAGCTAAATAATAATTTAAATATACCCGATTACAAAGTTCCTCCCCACTTTCAGTGATTGTAAATTCATGCCTGTGCGACACGCCACCAATGAAAAAATAGAACAGAAAAGTAGACGGTAGAAATTGTGATATTTGATGTGCAAAATAGTCAATGATTCAATAAAAATGGCAAAAATTGATCATTTGGAATCTGAGAAAGGTTTTGTATAAAGATAAGAGGAAGGGCAATTTGCCTACCCTGATTCGACTGAAGCGGAGTGATCCGAGGCAGCATTGGGAACTCTGTGCGTTGAACACTTGTTCAAACCTGGTGCCGAACACCCGCCAGAAGTGTAACACAACTGCTGGCTCCAAAAAACACTCTGCACTCCGGATAAAGGCATCGTTCAATGTCTGCAACGAAACATATCACATACTTAAAATGATAGTCCAAACTGTGAAAGGTACAACCGTTTTTCTTTCGATCCCCTCGACTTGAAAGGGCCGGTGTTACATACCACTGAACCACCCAACTCATATGACATTTCCTTCTTGTACCTCTTTTAGCGTGAATAATTAAGAAAAGCCCAAGTTAATTTATATTTTCTCCACTTTCAGTGGTCGGAACAAAAGAATGTAAGATAAGGGATGGCTACCTTGTGCGAATCGTCAGGATGGGGAAGACAGTTGACCTTCTCCAGATATGCAATCAGCTTCTCCGCAGAGAAAAATACTCTCAGTTTGTTCTGGTGGAATCTGCGTACTGTAAAGGCAGGGTACTTTCGACAGCACAAGTTCGAACTAAACACAACACACGCAGTGTTTCGATTAGGTCGAAACGGATACGGCATGTAATTCTGAAAAATCTGGTTTGATCCATCAGCATTGATGATTTCATTCATTAGCTGATAATGTTCAGGGCATCGAAACTTGGTCAACCTTGCGATCAGCAAGGTTATTGCAAAAAAAATTTCTGGTAAATAACTTTGTTCTTATAATGGTTAATTAGAAATGGCAAATTCAGGTTCAGTTCATAACAAATTCAAGTTTTTGATGTCTCCGGAACACTTGGCCCGGAGACAACGAATACGCCTGGGACGCCAAAGTTTCTTGGATCGAATATGACAGTACTTGTTTTTTTTCAAACCGGCTTATTTGTGTGCTGGCTTAGTGACCTAATTTTGAGTCGTTTCAAATGAAACATAATTGTCGTGCTAACTTCTGGATTCTACACAATTTTCAGATATAAATTGATTTTTTTGTCGGCTTAATGATTTCGTACCAGTTTTTGTCAGCTTACTGGCCGGGTGTTTTATTTTTAACTTTTTTGGTAAATTTTTAAATACTTTTTTTGCATAATTTTCTAGAAAGTAAATAGACTTCGTGCTTTTTTTATGGATTTTAAATACGCCAAATTTGATATTTTTTTAAAAACAGTTTTTGAAATAAGAAAAAAAATGCATTAACATTACGTTTTTTCGGATCCAAGGTTTCTGATTTGTTTTCTTTTTATCTCAAATTAGGTGGAATTAGTTTATTTGGCCTGTAATTTTATTGGCTTGCGTTCATGTGTTTATTGTTTTGGTTATTGGTGTGTTTCAGGGTTGAATTAGTTTATTTTGAATCGATTCAAGTTGATGCCATAGCGTTTTGTTTTCATATGTCAAAACTTTTCGTTTTTTTATTGCCTTTACGGGCTTTTTCGTCTTTTTTATTGTTTTCTTTTTTGTTGTAATCAAGCTCATTTAACAGTGCGTATGAATTTAATACTTGATAAATTTCATGTAAGTGGGTATTTGTATTAATTTTGAAGTGTTTTTTTTTCAGAATTTCTGCAAGTTGTTTTGTGCAAATTGTTTGAAGTTTAAGCATTCATTCTCATGGTTTTTTGTTTCATTTTTTTTCTATCATTTTCCTTTTATCTTAGTTTACAGCGTTTTTGTTGATGTTCATTATCAGTTTATCTTGAAGGATATGCAAGTTATTTGCTTGCAAGACTTTTAAGCAAAATTTTTGAGTACATTTAGGAAATTTCGGATCTCGATTTCTTTTACCAAAAATTTTTCTGGGCGTTTCCATCTATTGGTTATGAAAGAAAATTGAAAGATGTTTGTGTAGCCCGAATCCTTCTCGTGTGTTAGGTAATTAACTTTTTTAACAATTGTAATAATATTTGGCCTAATGTTTGTAGCCTACAATTTTTTCAACAGAATTCACTTAAGTTTTTCGCTTTTCGTTTGAGACACATTTTCTTTCGACTTATGGCATGTTTTTTTTGTATCACAAGTGGTGCGAAGCTCAGCTTCGCGTCTATGTTAAATAAGCATACTAACCATAATAATAACTCATTTAGAGGGAGAAGGGTGATACTTACTAGCAGTGTTTGGTGACAAATTTAGTGGGTATGTCGTTCATGCCGAGGTAGATGGCAGCAAACAGACAGTGGGGATCTAGACTGGGAAGGAAGGAGGGACATCCGACCACGTGGATGGAGACCATGATGGACTTGGTGGGAGAGGGGGAGTACTCCGCAGAGGATGTGAGAGGAGACACGAAGTTGACATTGGTTGTATCTGGGTCCATAGAGTCATCTACGTCTGGCAACTGATCCTCGGCTCGTTTAGGAGATGAGACCAGAGAAGACATCTTGGACAGGCGCAGATCTTGATAGGTGCGCTTGGGCTCAATGTTCAAGTAGCTGAATCAAACAAGACCCTAATTGGGTTGATTGTTTCTAATGATCCAATGAACAATTTTAGCAGCAAAACTTAGCAGCATTTAAAAAACACGTAACTGGTTTTTTTTCGGTTCAAAATTAGAACTTTTACGGTTTTTAAATTTAAAAGTTTAAAATAACCCGACACACTGAGGTAAAAAAAGGCGATGACTCACTTTCGAAGTATGTCTGCGAGGAAGTAGTACATGTTCGGATGGGTGGACATTGCCTGGTAGAGAGGGTTCCATGGGAACTCATTCATTAGGGGAACTGCCAGCACCGAGAACAACTCAGCGTCTAATTCACTCGGCTGAGTAGATCCCAGAAGGAACAGTTTGTCGTCCAGAATGCCAGACAGGTAGCCAATTGCACTGTCCAGTTCAAGACGCATCTGCAATCGAACGCTTCAACGATATTTTACGGGTAAAAATAACAGCTTGCAAATATGTGGTTATTGCAAACTGCATACGACATGCAACAAGGCAACAAATAATCTTTGTTCCTTTGCTTTTAAAACATCTGAAATCCATAAAGTGCGTTTTCCATCAATTTTTTCAGAGACTGTACAAACAACTCAACTGCAGCTGATGATTTTCCACATAGTATTTTTTATCAAACAATTTCGGTCACAGATGGAGAAGATACAGAAATCCAAGAAAGTTCATCAAAAATTCCGATTATATGATGCAGGATATGAAACATGAAGAGGAACTTGCCTTCTGTTCATTCACTGGACTCATCAGGGACTCCGGCGGTGATTGGTTGGAAGTAGCGGCGGCTGTGCTGGTCAAATGTTTCATCACAGTGCAGCTGCTGCTCTGCTCTCTCCACATGTCCATCGTGAACTCCTTGTTCTCCTCCCTCGTCCACATGGTCTGTTGAGACACCTCACGGAACCTGAGAATGAGCCAAATAAATGAGCCAGACCTTGAAAGACTAACTTTTGCACCGAAAAAACTTTAAAACTAAATTGAGTTATGACCATTTATCCACTGCTGTTCAGCTGATTAATCGGATCTACCTGTTATTGTTAATCTACTTTCGCTACTTTCAATACCTCTCTCAAATTTCAAAACTTCAGAACTGTTTTTATTCGGTAATAAAGAAGTATAGTAGCATCCAAACCTGTCGAGTATGCGCTGCACGAGTTTTTGTTCATTGTAGTGATGTGCTTTGGGCAGAGTGAACTTGAAGCTGTTGGAGAGATACTTCATCAGCTCCGAGGGAGAGTCGAACGTCGTCTCGTCCATCTCGTACACTGGGCAGTCATTGAACATCCTGGGGCTAGAGCTAAAATCATAGAACATTTTGTAAAAATGTACCATTAGTTCAACTAAACTAATTGTGCGCTATGACCTATTTGGTTGCTCTATACCCGCACAATTGTTTCAAATAAAAAACTACATTTTTCTTAAAAATTCAATTTTTGAATATAAGAGAAAAACTAGTCTGCGTACCCCTCCTGGCAAGATCGGAGGTTGACTGGGAAGCCGAGTCCCCTGAGAATGACGATGGTTTTGAGACATGACAGGTCCCAAGAGGGCAGCCCATCGGGGGCAGGGCATGCGTACACGGACACTGCTCCTCCCACAGTCAGGAACTCGCGGGGAATGAGACTTTGGAGTGACATGCTGAGTGCATTGGAGGGTCTCACATAATAGTACCTGTCCTGCCAATTCACACGCGGAAGATACAACTGCAGACGCCTACATAAATCAGATGGAAAACACTTCCAGCTTATTTGAACTACTTTTCAAGACGCATTTTTTCATAGTTTTTTCGTCATAATATCACTTTTTCTAAACAATGCTGCCAAGCTGGCCGAATACATTCGAGGAACAACCTGAAGATTGCTGCAGCTTCTAAATTCAATTGCTGGTTCTCAGAAATGACGTCATGGAATGGATCTCGGCTGGGCTTGAGGTCAACTAAGTTCAGTTGGATGATGGATGCCATGAACAGATATTCAATCTCGTCTTTGTGAGGGAATCTGACATCACTCTCCGTTAGGTCTATGAGGTCTTGCATGGCATGCACTGCCTCTTCGATGATGATTGGCTGATAACAAATGCACAACTTAAGCTCAAAATTTTGCAAAATCGACTCACAATTAAGAAACCAAAGGTTGAACGTGATAACAATTCCATGCAGATTTGCTTACCGTTTATCAGATCTAAAATGTGAAACTCACTCAGGTCAAGCCTTCATTACGTTAAAATTTGACTGGGTAATTTCATTATTATATTTTTTCAACTTACGCCATCTGTATCCACATTGCGTCCATTAGCCCCAATGAATGATTCCCAGAAGTCCTAAAACCCAGAGAATATGCAATCATTTTGCACTCACAACTGAAAGTAAGCGCCAAATTTAATTATCAAAAGCGCGCTGTTTATATTTTTTGGTAAAAAACTGCGACCTTCTGTATTAAGTCTCTGCTAGTGCCACGAGTGCAGTAGCCCGAAATAAAAAATTTTACGGTTCATACTAATTTTTAGCAAACAGAAAGCACATAAACGCAGTTTTTGTCACCTTTAAATCTCGTCTCCTTAGCTTTTAAAAGCATTTTGACATGTGAAATACTGGTGACTAATAGGCGGATTATGATGTGCAGTTGTTATTCAGGAGTTCATTCTGACCTGTGCCATTTTGGGCTTGGATATGGCGGTGAGGTATGGGAGGACCTTCATGTAGAAGGGGGTGACAAGGTGGGCGAAGTTGTCTCTGTGGAAGAAGAGGGTGTAGACCAGCCCCAGTCTCAGTTTCTCCACACTCTGCAGGCCACGCTCCTTCAGACCCCTACCTCCCTCCTGAACACAATCACCCTCACACATCAGGCAACAGTGTGGACACAAAGTAACGATAGCAATGGATGCACAAATATAGTCAAAACATTAGCTGCCACATCTTCTAATTAATTGAATTTTGACTTGGTTGAATTCTCTCTAAAAATCATTCCATAGGAGGTTTACGCCAAACCGTCAAAAGTATGAGGAACTCATCTCGCAATAATAATCAAGATAGAAGCTTGGACAGCAGCGGAAATTTCGAAGTAGATAAAAATAATAACAAGTCAAAAAATCTTCCTAACTGCAAACTAGCACTTTATAACCTCGAATTTTTTCCTTGTGATATCAACACCTCAAACACTAGTCATCTTTATCGAACTATCTCTTCTCGGATTATAAAAGCCTGTCCAGCCTGTGAGTTTTTAGCCGCAGAACTAATATTAGCACGACTTCAGAATTAAATTGCGGACCTCCACCCGAGTAGGTCTCTTTTTTTAACAGTTTCCTTCAATTAGACTACCTTCAGCCAAACAGTAACTCACTGCCTTCGCTAGGTGGTGTGTGTCTGCGTCTGGGGTGTTGGCCTGTATGACTGCGTTGAGGAACATCATGACCTCCTGGGAGGTGTAGAACACAGTCTCCACATTGTCCTCCTTCTTGTTCCTGATCACGTACTTCGGATAGCTCTCCTGGCACAGCGTCTCACTAAGCAGAAACAAATGCAATTGCACTAAACGAACACATCAAATTTGACCCCCTTCTCTCCAGGCATTCGACCCCATGACAACCGGCGGTCCATCCCGTTTTCTTACTATTTTAAGACCTCTATTTTGGTCTACAAGCCGCAAGGCGTTTCTAAAGGCACCTCTCTGCCAGTAAACAAGCTATGTACAATAAACTGGAGAGGGAAATTCGCCTGCAGCGCAGAAAAATTTGGCAAAATAAGGTGGTTATAGTGTCTTGGGCGAACTCAAAAATCAATTTGGTCGATCAAATAAGTCAACAAAATTCCTTGCGAGAAAAAAGTCGATCCACCTCAGCTACGAACTGAGTTAAACTGATAAGAGAAAATACTATAATGTCGAAGAGACGATAAATTCGCTAATAGGGCTCCCTCTTGAAAATTTTCGACATACGTTTAGGCGCCATTCTAAACGAAAACAGATCGATTAGCTAATTAAATCGGCACCTTTAGGAAAATTTAAAGATTGTAAAATTGTTGACTTACTAAGAATGAATGGAGTGAACAATTGGTTTGACATCCACTGCCAGGAGATAGCATAGCACCTCCAGACTCATCAGATCTACCATGCTGGTGGATCCAGTGGTAGTATAGCAGAACACCTCCACGTCATAGTCACTACAGGCACTCTCGTGGGGTCTGGGCTCCAGGGTACTCTCCGCACGAGGACAGAACGTCGAATTGAGGGTGAAGTTGAAGAGTGTGGTGTCTATGCTTTCGTTCATCCCTATTGCTGTGCCAGGAATCTGAGAAAGAACATTGGTGCCAAGGGCAGTGCCTGGTCTTCTGTTTTCAGGTACTTCTCTTCTAGGTCCTTTTTCGAAGTTGCTGGCCAGAGGCAATTCCGAAAGATCGTCCATGCTTTCCAGATTTGAACCCGGCAACGATTGCAAGTCACGTGTGCTAGATGAGTTCTGGGCCACTGAAATGTCCTCTGACACTGGTTTTCTGTTTCTATCAATAAATTCATCTTCAACTGGGCTTTGAAGGAGTTTCTGCTTCTCAACTGTAGTCTCTTCGTCATTTTCTGTAGACTTCAGGACTGCATAGGCTTTAGTTTTTGGCTTAGAGGTCGTTTCGTCAAAGAGGTCTCTTCTCTGATTAGCCAACGAGTCAGAAATACTGACTTCACTCTCGCTGCCTTCGTCTATATTGATTTTGATGTGCTTCTCTGTAAAAAAAATATAGTGTTTTAGATCTATTATTATACATAACTAGATTGGCGTTAATGGATAATTACGTTGATAATTACGTGTTGCGCTGACTCTATGCTGATTGAGTTCTAAAGAAACCGTTTGCCCTGATGACATTAGCTTTGAGAGCGCCTCTTCCAATATGCGCAACAGTCCACACAATAATGAAGTTAATATGCGACTGCTTGTAAATGCGAGAACTCATATATTCTATAGCTACAAAAAGTATGATTTAGTCAAGTGCGCCAATAAGTTAACGATATATTTAAGAACATGGTGAGTTTTTAAGCTGTTCACTCAATCGCAATCAAAAAGCAATTAAGCAGCCAGAAAGCAAGAAAATTAAATGAGAGTTGCAGATTGCTGTGCACGCTCAAGCTACTGGTAACTCTGGCTGGAACCTCAGGCTTTAGACATTTAATTTTGGAAAAAAAAAACGATATTTTCAATCGTTTAAATTTGAGTATTGTTTTCTTTGTAATGTAGAATGGAAATCAAGAAGCTTTTTGGAACATCATTAATGGCTTTTATTGGCAATAGTTATCTTAAAAAAGAAGAAAAATTGATCCAAAGTATGAAAAATTAAAAATTTTAATTGCTTTTTCAGATATATGATTAGAACGGTTACCCTTGGAATCCGCAAAGGCATTGCATTTGGGTACTAGACCTTTTCCCGTAGATAGTTTTGCTCACAAATTAGTCAATTTTTAGGAATTATTTCTTTCTCGACATGTTAAACTTTTTGAAAAATCAAAAAGGTACCTTTATTTTAGTGGTAAACAGGTGTGTTCTGTTTCCGGCAGCAAATATTTTTTGAAATAGAGTTTATCGGGGATTCGGGGTTTTCGCGCAAAGTTTTGCAATTTGTCTATTTACCAAGTCTGATTCTAAGAAATATTTTTTGAGCTTTTTTTCAATTAAACGGTTACGTCTTCCAATTTACCGGTTCAGTGTATTTTTACTGGGTAATTACGAGTGCAAAAATTTCTTGTTCGACAAAATCAAGTATTATGAAAATGTATGGAATTTCATTTTTTATTTTTATGCTTTCTTGAGAAAAAGGTAATTAGTTCTTTTTTTTGTGCCAAAAAATATGAATTATTCAGGACAACTAGTTGATCAAAATTCAAGAAATTGGCAAGGCTAAAAAGGCTACTAGATTGTGTGTCTGCATATTCCGCTTGTCACATTTTACCCTACTTCAGCTTCAAGGAGGGGACTGTTTGACTCATTTATTGGTCATTTCATTCTGAGACTCAGTTTTCGATGGAAAAAAACAAGTGGCTGGAAAATTTTCCGCATAAGCCAGTACGACCTATTTTTATAGAAAGAAATGTTTTGGCCTCAAAAAAAGAGATTTTATTTTGATACTCTGGTCATTTTTGAAATTTTCCAAACGTTTGCAACAAGTGCTATCTGATATCTTACATGAAGGTTCAATCGAAAAAATTTGATTGTCGGATCATTCATTTAGGAAACTATGGCCTCAAAACAGGACAGCTTTTGTGATCTGACCGTTTTTGTGGGATATTTCAACGTTGCTTGAAAACTACTTTCCCGAATCGGCTTGAAAAATGAAAAATCATTCCAGAAAACATTTGAAAACATTGCCCCAAAATTTAGTGAAACATTGTTTAAACTTTTTTATAAGAAAAGACGATTTGAGTTTTTGATCGTTTTGATTGGAAACTTTGTTGCTTTTCTCACAAACTTTTCTGCTAGAAATATATTTTGACGCCACAGTTTTTTTCAAACGTTTTATACAACAGTATAATAATTAAAATCTCATTTCAGATATTTTAACTCGTTAAATTTTGCGAGAGTTTGGAAATACAAACGCAAAATTGAGTTTTTGTGCATCGTAAAGCTTCCGTATTTTGCCTCTTTCTCGCTCCTGTTTGCGATGTAGCAGCTTCGCTTCGGTGTAAATTTTGAAATCATTTGTTTTTTTTTCTAAGACAGCCAAAATTAACAGATCTTAAGTCTTGTAGGGTATCAGTAGGACCAAATAACTCGCCTCAGTTTAGTTTGGAAAAACTTTTATTTTAAGTACCAAGAAGTTACAAATCGTAACGCTTAAACCAATAGGTAGTGTTGCAAATTTTTCAGGTAGTGTTGCAGAATGGCTTATAAGTTACTAGAGAAAACAATGGCCGAATCGGCAGCAATTGAATTTACAAAACTTCACCAAAAATTTTCAGTTGAAATGATATCTTTTCATTTTTTAGTTTAAGGGGTCGATCCCTTCATCAAACTGCCAAAAAACTCTGCTAAAAAAACAAGTTTAAGTCTAATTGTTTTATTTCAAAACTCTAAAATAGGACCAAGGTAACATTCTCCCCTTAAATTGTTTTTAGCTTCGAAGATGATAACTTTTTTTAATCTAGAAATTTAAGCCAATGAGAATCGAGTTTTTTGCACACAGCTGTAAAAAAAAATCCTGATCAAAATGAAAGTGGGTAGGTCTTAACTTGGTCTATTAAGTGGGTCGGATAGTAACTTGACTATCTAAAAAATCTAACTGCTCTCTGCAATGATAACTTACCAACAGTTATAAGTTTGAATGGAGAAACCAAAGCTAGCAGAAATATTTCTTGACTTTTTCCAAAAATTGCAACATCACATTTTTTAGACGAAATCTAGTAACTATATCAGAATGCATGTTTTTCGGCAATTTTTTCTATCAATTTCAAGTCATTTATTTTATTGCTTGTAAAATCATCGACTACTCAAACAAAAAATTTTGCTCTGCTATATGAAAAAAAGGGATCAAAACTTTTGCGAAATCAGTTTTTTTGACGCAAAGGTAACATATATATTTTAAAAATGTTTTGCTAAAAAAAGTTTGCATTTAAGGTGGATGTTCCAAGAAAAAAATTGCAGCTTCTGATGATTGGCTGTATTCATAGGAATCATATATTTGATTCTATTCTGGGCTTAAGCCAGCTCAAATGTTGCCTCACATTGAACAAAAACTAAAAACAGCCAAGGTTCTACAAACAAAAATTCCAATTTTGAGATGCTAGATAACAAAAGAGTTGCCATTAACTATGCAGAGCACAAATGTTTTTACATCGTAGAATCTCATGTGATTGTTTTTTGAGCAAATTGTTTAACCCGCATCTAAGTTTAGGTCCCTACCATCATCCAAGTTTAGGTCCCTACCCGCATCCAAGTTTAGGTCCCTGCCCTCATCCAAGTTTAGGTCCCTAACCGCATCCAAGTTTAAGTCCCTACCCGCATCCAAGTTTAGGTCCCTACCCGCATTCAAGTTTAGGTCCCCACCCGCATATAAGTTTAGGTCCCTACCCGCATCCAAGTTTAGGTCCCTACCCGCATCCAAGTTTAGGCCCCTACCCGCATCCAAATTTAGATACCTGCCCGCATCCAAGTTTAGGTCCCTACCCGCATCCAAGTTTAGGTCCCTACCGGCATCCAAGCGTAGGTCCCTACCCGCATTCAAGTTTAGGTCCCTACGCGCATCCAAGTTTAGGTCCCTACCAGCATCCAAATTTAAGTCCCTACCGGCATCCAAGTTTTGGCATACCCGCATCCAATTTCAAGCGCTAATAATCGATTCTATTACGATATTAGTACCAGTCTTACTAAAATTGAGAAACAATCGATTTTAATCAATTAAAAATCGATTAAAATCTTTCTTTTTAAAATCAATTTATAATTAACTGTAATACACTATAATCGATTATAACCGATTAATAAAGTCTTATTTTCGACACAAGTATAGTCAATTATAATTGATTATAATCCATTATTTTTACTCAAATTTCTAATTTATTAGTTTTGCACAAAAATCCATTATAATCGATTATAATTGATTATAATCTTTTTTGTTTGTCCAGTTTGTCTACGAAGTTGCATCTAAATTGCTTATATTTTATGCTTTTTGTAGACATTCGTTCCTATGAAAATTGAGAAAAAGGTTTTTAAAGTTATGCAATCAATTCAAATTTTGAAGTTTTTTCCTTCATTTGTTCCCTATTAGATTTGTTTTGTGATGCACATTTTAAGTTTTTTAGCCACCTAAAGATTGGAAAATTGATTTAGTTTCCTGATTGATTCGGAAAAAATTAATTTTTTATCTACCGCTTGAACTTTTTCAATAATATGAAAGGAGCTCTATGAAACTTTTGTTTCGTGGCAAAATTTTGTGTTCAGATGAACCAAAGTGTTCAAGAGATCTCACTGTTCAAAGTGTTCAAAGTGTTCAAGAGACCAAAGTGTTCAAGAAATTGGCACAAAATTATTAACCCATTAGATTTAATTCAAATATTGATTTTTGAATTGACAAAAGTTTGACAAAATAAGATATTATAATCGATTATAATCGATTATAATTGATTTTAAAGGGTTTTCTATAAGAGCTATAATCATTTATAATCGATTTTACGAGATTGTAATCTCTTGGAAAATATCACTATTATAATCAATCATAATTCTTTTAAACACCTAATTTTGGTAGTTATAACCAATTACAATTGTCAAAAAATCATCATAATAATCCGTTATAATCGATTACTTACGCCTTAACTTGGATGCGGGTAAGTAATTGATTATAACGGATTATTATGTTGATTTTTAAAGAGTTAGCGATTATAATTACCACTTTTAGCTACTTAAAGGATATATAACCAAAAATGAACGCTACTTCTACGCCTTTTCAAGAAAAATTTCAAATTTGCAGTGTCGCAAAGAAAAAGATGATTTTTAACTTAAAGTATATTTTGAAGATCATTTTAAAATTCGGATTATAATGGGCTCTTAAATAGTATCTGTTTTATTGTTGTAGGAGAAACGTCTCAGAAATCGCAAATTATTAGCTTAAATGAAGTGGTTTGAAAACAAAGGCAAAATCTGAATATCAGTTAAAAGAATTACATGAGCAGTTTTTAATAAGTATGATCATTAAAAACTATTGAACCGTAAAAAAAGATAAATGCAATTGATTCTACTAACTTTTCTTGGTGTCTGGGAGGGTACCCATCTGTTTTCTCTCTTCTTCACTGAACAAGTGGCGCCTGTCCCCTCCTTCCTTATTTGGAAGTAAAGGATCTCTTGAAGTATCCCATTCAGGCATGTCTATTCTGACGTCACTTTCGTTACTGTTCACGGACTTGTTGTCGTCAACCAACACTTGCAAGTCCTCGTCCTGCTTGCTATCACGTGGCTGCACGCTTGATGGCTTTGACGCCATTTCTTTATCCACCTCGGCATCTTTAGGCTTCGATCTTCCAAACAGAGGAAACAAACTCCCAAATGTCTTCTTGTCTTGTTTTTCACTGAGTTTAGGAGCATCAACCTCTGGCTCGGCTTCAGTGATGACGCCGGTTTCTATTTTAATTTCGATTTCAGCAGAGGCTTTTCCAAAAGGGAAACCCCGCGAGTCAACTGCTAAGCTATCGGAATCCAATTTAGACTCGTCGTCGAGAGATTTTCCCACATCGTTCTTTTTGACCCTCTCTCTATCAATTATTTGATGATCTGGCGATACTGAATGGATACGAGCTGCTACATTTTTATCACTGATCTTGGAAAGATTTACATTCAATTCCTCATTCGGCTCAGGTCTTTCGTCGTTGTTCTGTTCAGATTTTTTGAGCTCATCTGACAAGAGATTTGATGTCTCCGTGGGAATTTGAGCTTTCTCTTTATCCAGAGCTTCTTCTGGAACATTAGAGCTCTGCTTCTCTTTTTGGCTAAGGCTAAGCGAGGGTGGATTGAAGCCAAAATACATCCCTGATTTCGTGCCATGGTTTTCACCTGAAGGTTTGCCTGCCTGTTTGCCTGCTTGTTTGCCCTGGCTGTCTTCAGATCCTGGAGTTACCGCAACTGTTTTATCTATTGGTAACTTGTCTAATCTGGTATCATCTACCTTTGCATTTGATATATCAGAGGGCAATTGAATCTCTCCTGCGTTTGGAGTTCGTACTGAAACAACGTTTCCATCGTGCACATGCATTTGATAGTCTTTTTGGTTTAGACCAAATGACGGAAGACCAAAACTAAACTGAATTCCAGATTTATTAGTGTCATCGATAAGACTTAGAGGTTTTTCATTTTTGTTGTCAGGCATAGACAACTGTTTGCCTTCGCTGTCTTCAGATCCTGGAACTACTGTAACTGTTTTGTCTATTGGTAACTTTGAAGTGTCGTTTTCTTTATCAGGCTTTTGGATGTTATCTATCGACACATTCGATTTGCTCGACGGCACATTATACTTATCTTTGCTACGAGTTTCCTTTGGAACTTCGCACTCAAGGGGTTTTTGCGATTGCGTTTCTTTTTGATTCCCGTCGCTAATGGGTAAATTTGGAGATTTATCATCCTCTTTAGATAGCAACTTGTCAATCCATTTAGCTGCACCTTTTGAGGCAAACTTAGCATCGCGCAGGTTTAAAACTCCCTTGCCTCGTTCGTCAACAATCGTTGGTTTACTTATTAGTTGCGGTATATCGTTTTTCGTCGGTTTTTGATTTTTGTTACCAGCAGGACTTTTTGGCCTACTTCCTGGTTGATCTCCGCCAGAAATTAAGGAGAACGTATCCGGTATGCTTTCAAGATTAAATTGGGCTCCTGGATCGGGTACAATGATCACAGTGTCTCCTTTTGTTGTGGTTGCTGTCTCTCGAGTGCTTGAAGAGTAGTGGGTTGAAGATTGCGGCAACAAATTTGACACTGGCATACTTTCATCTTCAGTTTCTCCTTGTTTCAATTTAAGGATTTCATCATCAAGAACCGCATGCGTGACGACGTCTGGAGGTGGCGTAGTCATATCCCTAGGAGATTCAACCGTCGATTCCGACTGATTGATTGTTTCATCGGGAGTTCTCTGTGACTCATAGTCTTTGAGCGGATCTGTTTTCCTTAGCTCCAAATCTTCTTCATCTGGCGCCAATTCGATCTTATTAGGCTGCTCACAATCTTTGAATAAAAGTTTATCAACCCATTTTCCCGCAGCAGTGGATCCTAACTTGAGTTCACGAACACTAAACTGACCTTTCGTTGCATCTAGAAATTCGATTTTGTCGTCCTCGGATTCATACGTATCCGTTTTTCTGGTTCCAGGTTCATTTTCAATTTCTTGGCTTCCAATGGAAATATCAATATCCAGTACCAAGTCTGGTGTGCTTTCCAGCTTAGTTTGGGCTGCAGGATCCAACGAAATGGTTTCCTGATTTGATTCTGAAAAAAATGGCCGCTGCTGAGTTTGATCAGAGATTGCAGCTTCTGGTTGCAAAGTTAATCTTTGTTTTGATTCGTTGCCACTTTCTGCCTGACTCAAATTGCGTTTTCTATCGATATCAACTGCAGGGGTCGCGGCATCTGAAATTGCCGTACTCTGATCTCTGGGAGGTTCAACTGTCGATACCGGTCGATTTACACTATCACCACGAACGCTCTCTGACTCATATTCTTTCACCTGATCGGTATCACTTTGCTTCAAACCCTCTTCGTCTGGCGTCGATTCAATCTTATTAGGCTCCTCACAATCTTTGGATAAAAGTTTATCCACCCATTTTCCCACAGCATTGGATCCTAACTTGAGTTCACGAATACTCAACTGACCTTTTGTTGCCTCTAAAGATTTCATTTTGTCGTCTTCAGTTTCATACGTATCTGGTTTTCTGGTTTCAGGTTCATCTCCATTTTCTTGGTTTCCAATGGAAGTGTCAATATCCAGTACCATGTCTGGTGTGCTTTCCAGCTTATTTTGGGCTGCTGGATCCAACGAAATGCTTTCCTGATTTGGTTCTGATACAAATGGCTGCTGCTGAGTTTGATTAGAGGTTAAAGATTCTGGTTGCCAAATTACTCTTTGTTTTGATTCGTTGCCTCTTTCTTCTTGACTCAAATTGGGTTTTTTATTGATATCAACTGCAGGGGTCGCGGCATCTGAAATTGCCGTACTCTGATCTCTGGGAGGTTCAACTGTCGATACCGGTCGATATACACTAACACCGCGAACGCTCTGTGACTCATATTCTGTCAGCTGATCGGTTTTACTTTGCTCCAAATCCTCTTCGTCTGGCGTCAATTCAATCTTATTAGGCTCCTCACAATCTTTGGACAAAAGTTTATCAACCCATTTTCCCGCAGCAGTGGATCCTAACTTGAGTTCACGAACACTAAGCTGACCTTTTTTTGCCTCTAAAGTTTTCATTTTGTCGTCTTCGGTTTCATACGTATCCGGTTTTCTGGTTTCAGGTTCATCTCCACTTTCTTGGTTTCCAATGGAAGTGTCAATATCCAGTACCATGTCTGGTGTGCTTTCCAGCTTATTTTGGGCTGCCGGATCCAACAAAATGCTTTCCTGATTTGGTTCTGATACAAATGGCCGCTGCTGAGTTTGATGAGAGGTTGCAGCCTCTGGTTGCAAAGTTACTCTTGGTTTTGATTCGTTGCCACTTTCTTCTTGACTCAAATTGGGTTTTTTATCGATATCAACTGCAGGGTTCGCGGCATCTAAAATTGCCATGCTCTGATCTCTGGGAGGTTCAACTATCAATACCGGTCGCTTTACACTATCACCGCGAACGCTCTGCGACTCATATTCTGTCAGCTGATCGGTTTCACTTTGCTTCAAACCATCTTCATCTGGCCTCGATTCGATCTTATAAGGCTCCTCACAATCTTTGGATAAAAGTTTATCCACCCATTTTCCCGCAGCATTGGATCCTAACTTGAGTTCACGAATACTCAACTGACCTTTTGTTGCCTCTAGAGATTTCATTTTGTCGTCATCGGTTTCATAACTATCCGGTTTTCTGGTTTCAGGTTCATCTCCACTTTCTTGGTTTCCAATGGAAGTGTCAATAGCCAGTACCATGTCTGGTGTGCTTTCCAGCTTATTTTGGGCTGCCGGATGCAACAAAATGCTTTCCTGATTTGGTTCTGATACAAATGGACGCTGCTGAGTTTGATGAGAGGTTGCAGCCTCTGGTTGCAAAGTTACTCTTGGTTTTGATTCGTTGCCACTTTCTTCTTGACTCAAATTGGGTTTTTTATCGATATCAACTGCAGGGTTCGCGGCATCTAAAATTGCCATGCTCTGATCTCTGGGAGGTTCAACTGTCGATACCGGTCGATATACACTAACACCGCGAACGCTCTGTGACTCATATTCTGTCAGCTGATCGGTTTTACTTTGCTCCAAATCCTCTTCGTCTGGCGTCAATTCGATCTTATTAGGCTCCTCACAATCTTTGGATAAAAGTTTATCAACCCATTTTCCCGCAGCAGTGGTTCCTAACTTGAGTTCACGAACACTAAGCTGACCTTTTGTTGCCTCTAAAGTTTTCATTTTGTCGTCTTCGGTTTCATACGTATCCGGTTTTCTGGTTTCAGGTTCATCTCCACTTTCTTGGTTTCCAATGGAAGTGTCAATATCCAGTACCGTGTCTGGTGTGCTTTCCAGCTTATTTTGGGCTGCCGGATCCAACAAAATGCTTTCCTGATTTGGTTCTGATACAAATGGCCGCTGCTGAGTTTGATGAGAGGTTGCAGCTTCTGGTTGCAAAGTTGCTGTTGATTTTAATTCGTTGCCACTTTCTTCCTTACTCAAATGGGGTTTTTTATCCACATGAAATGCGGGGGTCGCGTAATCTGAAATTACCATACTCTGATCTCTGGTAGGTTCAACTGTCGAAACCGGTCGATTTACACTATCACCGCGAACGCTCTGTGACTCATTATCTGTCATTTGATCGGTTTCACTTAGCTTCAAACCCTCTTCGTCTGGCGTCAATTCGATCTTATAAGGCTCCTCACAATCTTTGGATAAAAGTTTATCCACCCATTTTCCCGCAGCATTGGATCCTAACTTGAGTTCACGAACACTCAACTGACCTTTTGTTGCATCTAGAGATTCCATTTTGTCGTCTTCGGTTTCATACGTATCCGTTTTTCCGGTTTCAGAGTCATCTCCACTTTTTTGGTTTCCAATTTCAATATCCAGTACCAAGTCTGGTGTGCTTTCCAGCTTAGTTTGGACTGCTGGATCCAACGAAATGCTTTCCTGGTTTGATTCTGAAACAAATGGCCGCTGCTGAGTTTGATCAGAGATTGCAGCTTCTGATTGCAAAATTACTGTTCGTTTTGATTTGTTGCCGCTTTCTTCTTGACTCAAATGGGGTTTTTCATCGACATGAACTGCAGGGGTCGCGGCATCTAAAATTGCCGTACTCTGATCTCTGGGAGGTTCAACTGTCGATACCGGTCGATTTACACTATCACCACGAACGCTCTGTGACTCATAATCTGTCAGCTGATCTGTTTTACTTTGCTCCAAACACTCTTGCTCTGGCGTCCATTCGATCTTATTAGGCTGCTCGCAATCTTTGGATAAAAATTTATCAACCCATTTTCCCGCAGCAGTGGATCCTAACTTGAGTTCACGAACACTAAACTGAGCTTTTGTTGCATCCAGGGATTCGATTTTGTCGTCTTCATTTTCATACGTATCCGGTATTCCGGATCTTTCCAGCTCAGTTGGGGCTGCCGGATCCAACCAAAAACTTTCTGTATTTGATTCTGATACAAATGACCGCTGCTGAATTTGATCAGAGATTGCAGCTTCTGGTTGCAAAGGTATTGTTGGTTTTGATTCGTTGCCACTTTCTTCTTGACTCAAATGGGGTTTTTTATCGCCATGAACTGCAGGGGTGATGGCATCTGAAATTGCCGTACCCTTATCTCTGGGAGGTTCAACTGTCGATACCGGTCGAGTTACACTATCACCGCGATCGCTCTGTGCCTCATAATCTGTCAGCTGATCTGTTTTACTTTGCTCCAAATCCTCTTCGTCTGGCGTCAATTCGATCTTATTAGGCTCCTCACAATCTTTGGATAAAAGTTTATCCACCCATTTTCCCGCAGCATTGGATCCTAACTTGAGTTCACGAATACTCAACTGACCTTTTGTTGCCTCTAGAGATTTCATTTTGTCGTCATCGGTTTCATAACTATCCGGTTTTCTGGTTTCAGGTTCATCTCCACTTTCTTGGTTTCCAATGGAAGTGTCAATAGCCAGTACCATGTCTGGTGTGCTTTCCAGCTTATTTTGGGCTGCCGGATGCAACAAAATGCTTTCCTGATTTGGTTCTGATACAAATGGACGCTGCTGAGTTTGATGAGAGGTTGCAGCCTCTGGTTGCAAAGTTACTCTTGGTTTTGATTCGTTGCCACTTTCTTCTTGACTCAAATTGGGTTTTTTATCGATATCAACTGCAGGGTTCGCGGCATCTAAAATTGCCATGCTCTGATCTCTGGGAGGTTCAACTGTCGATACCGGTCGATATACACTAACACCGCGAACGCTCTGTGACTCATATTCTGTCAGCTGATCGGTTTTACTTTGCTCCAAATCCTCTTCGTCTGGCGTCAATTCGATCTTATTAGGCTCCTCACAATCTTTGGATAAAAGTTTATCAACCCATTTTCCCGCAGCAGTGGTTCCTAACTTGAGTTCACGAACACTAAGCTGACCTTTTGTTGCCTCTAAAGTTTTCATTTTGTCGTCTTCGGTTTCATACGTATCCGGTTTTCTGGTTTCAGGTTCATCTCCACTTTCTTGGTTTCCAATGGAAGTGTCAATATCCAGTACCGTGTCTGGTGTGCTTTCCAGCTTATTTTGGGCTGCCGGATCCAACAAAATGCTTTCCTGATTTGGTTCTGATACAAATGGCCGCTGCTGAGTTTGATGAGAGGTTGCAGCTTCTGGTTGCAAAGTTGCTGTTGATTTTAATTCGTTGCCACTTTCTTCCTTACTCAAATGGGGTTTTTTATCCACATGAAATGCGGGGGTCGCGTAATCTGAAATTACCATACTCTGATCTCTGGTAGGTTCAACTGTCGAAACCGGTCGATTTACACTATCACCGCGAACGCTCTGTGACTCATTATCTGTCATTTGATCGGTTTCACTTAGCTTCAAACCCTCTTCGTCTGGCGTCAATTCGATCTTATAAGGCTCCTCACAATCTTTGGATAAAAGTTTATCCACCCATTTTCCCGCAGCATTGGATCCTAACTTGAGTTCACGAACACTCAACTGACCTTTTGTTGCATCTAGAGATTCCATTTTGTCGTCTTCGGTTTCATACGTATCCGTTTTTCCGGTTTCAGAGTCATCTCCACTTTTTTGGTTTCCAATTTCAATATCCAGTACCAAGTCTGGTGTGCTTTCCAGCTTAGTTTGGACTGCTGGATCCAACGAAATGCTTTCCTGGTTTGATTCTGAAACAAATGGCCGCTGCTGAGTTTGATCAGAGATTGCAGCTTCTGATTGCAAAATTACTGTTCGTTTTGATTTGTTGCCGCTTTCTTCTTGACTCAAATGGGGTTTTTCATCGACATGAACTGCAGGGGTCGCGGCATCTAAAATTGCCGTACTCTGATCTCTGGGAGGTTCAACTGTCGATACCGGTCGATTTACACTATCACCACGAACGCTCTGTGACTCATAATCTGTCAGCTGATCTGTTTTACTTTGCTCCAAACACTCTTGCTCTGGCGTCCATTCGATCTTATTAGGCTGCTCGCAATCTTTGGATAAAAATTTATCAACCCATTTTCCCGCAGCAGTGGATCCTAACTTGAGTTCACGAACACTAAACTGAGCTTTTGTTGCATCCAGGGATTCGATTTTGTCGTCTTCATTTTCATACGTATCCGGTATTCCGGATCTTTCCAGCTCAGTTGGGGCTGCCGGATCCAACCAAAAACTTTCTGTATTTGATTCTGATACAAATGACCGCTGCTGAATTTGATCAGAGATTGCAGCTTCTGGTTGCAAAGGTATTGTTGGTTTTGATTCGTTGCCACTTTCTTCTTGACTCAAATGGGGTTTTTTATCGCCATGAACTGCAGGGGTGATGGCATCTGAAATTGCCGTACCCTTATCTCTGGGAGGTTCAACTGTCGATACCGGTCGAGTTACACTATCACCGCGATCGCTCTGTGCCTCATAATCTGTCAGCTGATCTGTTTTACTTTGCTCCAAATCCTCTTCGTCTGGCGTCAATTCGATCTTATTAGGCTCCTCAAAATCTTTGGATAAAAGTTTATCAACCCATTTTCCCGCAGCAGTGGATCCTAACTTGAGTTCACGAACACTAAGCTGACCTTTTGTTGTATCTAGAGATTCGAATTTGTCGTCTTCGGTTTGATACGTATCCGGCTTTCCGGTTTCAGATTCATCTCCTACTTCTTGGTTTCCAATAGAAATATCGATGTTCGGTCCCATGTCCGGCGTGCTTTCCAGCTTAGTTTGGGCTGCTGGATCCAACGAAATGTTTTCCTGATTTGATTCTGCCACAAATGTCCGGTGCTGAGATCGATCAGCGGTTGCAACGTCTGGCCGCAAATATGAGGTTAGTTTTGAGCCCTCGGCACTTTTTTCTTCATTCAAATGGGGAACTTTAATGCCAGGAACTTCATAGGTGACAAGATCGGGAGTCTGAGTTGTGTAATCGCAGGAAGATTCACCTGCCATTTCCAGTCGACTGGGCGTTTCATTCGGAACGCTATCTGACTTATATTCTGCTGTCAGCTGATCTGTTTTGTTTTTCTCAAACCGCTTTTGATCTGGCCTCAAGTCGATTACATTAGCCTCATCAATATCTTTGTATAAAAGGTTATCAATCCATTTTCCCGCAGCAGTTGATCCTAGCTTGAATTCCCGAACACTAAATGGTCTTTCTGCTCCACCTGAAGACTTTTTCTCGTTTTCGGATACTTCCCTGTCATCAAATTGAACATTTAATAGTCGATCGCCAGATAATTGGCC